TCAAGCCCATGTGTTCTATCCTTTCCGGATAGACATCGAACGAGTCGCCCAATAGAGCGTATCCCGCCCGCCGTCGGGTACACAAGGTGAGCAAGACACAACCAGAGCACGGATCCCCTTCGTTAGTCGGTGTCCGGGCGCAAGTGGTATCGGGAACCGCAATCACAAGATTTTCACGGATTCCGCTTCACCACATTGGTGCGCGTGCCGGGACCTTCTAGTGGCTCGGGATTTCACCGTGAGTCCCAAGAAGATGTCAAGGTCAAAGAAGAACACAGGGAAGAAGTGCCTACGAATGCTGGATAGACGGAGGCATCGCTGAATACAGCAAGATTCACAGATGAGCGGAGTATGGAGAGGATATCTGCTGACAGACACGAGGCGGACCTGGATCAAGACCCATATCTTGAAGAAAAGCCTCGAATTCCTCTCAAAGCCGCCACAGTGGCCATCGCAGATCTCGACGAGAATCTAGATCTGCTCACAACCGACAAGGAAACGACCAAGTCGAAGTCCAATATGTCCACCAAGTCGGTGGTCACGACAAGATCGTCCAAGAAAAAGAAGATCAAGACCGCTCGGACGAAGCTGAAGGCACGGGATTCGGAATCGGAAGACGTGAATAAACCGAGATCGACCATCGCCAAAGACATGATCGAGCAGGCTTACCATCGGAAGATCTTGAGCGAGCCATTGCTGCAGGACCCTGTCCTCGCGATCATACAGGTCCGCCAGATCGGTGATCTGATATGCCCGATATCCAAGCCCAACACCAGCACATATAGGCTGAATGAGGTGAAGTTCCTGCTGGATATTCTCCAGGAGGCCGGTCTAGTAGCGTGAGAATCGATCCGGATTCCCTGTTCGAGATGGAACTGGGGGCGATCCAAGCGGCGACTCAAGATCTTACGAATCGCTCAAGATCTTGGTCGGCGAACACGTACAAATGCCCGATTTGAACTACCAGACAGGGTCGTCATATTACGCGTCGGCTACCTCGGAACCGGATTCAGATTCCCCCCGAGTCCCGCAACGTATGTCGCTAGGCCCCTCGGGCGCTAAGTACCTGAGTTCACGCGTGAGCAGGCCGGATCAACGGCCGGCAGGACCGAGTCAGGTAAGGCGCCAGATCCCAGCAGGACGAACCACTCCGACGACCAATTCGACCGGATCTAGCAACAGGCTGGACGAATACTTCCAGATGGCGATGAATCGAATCCTGAAGGAACAAAGTCTGGTGACGGTGCAACCGACACCCCTCGGAACGCAGAAAACATGGAGTCAGTCGGCATGGAGTCAGACTCCTGGGAGTACGATCCCGACGATCTTGGAATTCCGAGTTCCTCCGGTCATAATACCGGCCGAGCCGCGGTCGCCTCGGCAGCGATCGGCTCCGGAGGGTCATCGCTGATCCAGAGGGTGCGAATTTCGTCCATCTCAGATCTGAAGCAATTTACCGGCCAGGATATGGACGAAGATCGCGTTAGGGCTTGAATCGGCAAGTTGAAATCGGCGTTCCAGCGAGGTCAAGCAACCGAAGATGAGAAATGCCTCGTCGTGGATCTGATGGTGGGACCACCAAACCGTCATTGCAACTTGGCGCAACGTCCCGTTCTGCCAGTTCGACCTCCATGCCAGTGTTGAACTCCGTGGGCATCGCTGCGGCCTTCGTGCCTCTCGCTGTGGCCTCTGTTGTCACCTTCGGTGTTCCGTCCATGATCGCTTCAATCGTCACGAGCAGCACCACCGCGGGTGCGTCTTCTATGGCTAAGAACTGGCACCGACAGTTAAGTCGGACTACCAAGACCAAATGGGCGGATCTACTCGAAAGTTTCCAGACCCAATACTGTGGTCTGGGCATGTCAGTGGCATGGCAGTATTACCATGCTCGGAAAAGATCCGAGGAGACCCCGCTCAATTATCTCTATCGACTGAACGCGGCCATTCTACGAGCCAAACTCAAGATCAAGGACGGAAATCCAAAGGCGACGTCGATCATTACATCGAGACGTTGGGCGATCCCGAATTGCCAGACCGCCTAACGCTATTACGATTGGCTGACGTCGACGAACTCGAGGAAGTTCTCCGCGCGAGAGAATGGACCAAGAGCAGGCAACGCAGATCCGCGTTCGGGTCGAAATTTTGACAGAAGGCCCCGGGCAGCGCTCCTGCTGCGCCAGCCCGTGCCATGGTACGCGCGATCCAGGCGCAGGATCCCTGCTCCGAGTCAGAAGGGGTCTCGGGATCTGACGGATCCGACTCGGAAGCGAACTTCGAAGGATCTTCCTGGTCGCGGCAGAAGAGAAGATGATCAGTACTGGGGGCGCTGCGCAGAACCAGGATCCCGGGCGATCCCGAACGAAAGCGTCTGAGGGAGGCAGGATCCCCGATCGTCGCGGTCCGGGAGACAGAGATCACCAAGATCGAGACCGCTGTTCTCATGGAAACACACGGATCTGGATTGTTGGAAACGTCTGACATGTGAAAAGTGTGGGAAGAGAGGTCACCCAACGGATCGCTGTCTGTATGCGTGTTGTGGATGCGGGGACGTCCATGAGGCAGGAGAATGTCCCATGGAGGATTTCTACAACCAGATACGCAAATGGTACGATCCGACTCGACACGCCGGGCTCTTCCCCGAACAAGTCGAGAAGATGTTAAACTAGGACACTCGCCCGGGTACGAGCCAAGCGTTCTAGATATTGTATTTACGCCTACGTGAACAAGGCAACGACAATTCGAGGTAGGAAGGAGTCGGATCTACGCGGTAATACCTGTAATTTGCATTCGTACACCGCCAAGATTACGAGCCTCCCTCAGATCAGCGAATTCAGCAGATCTAATGACGAAGTGGCCTTAGATCTCAACAGAGGAGAGTCCCGGGGATATTGGAAGCGTCATTCCCCGGGGAAATGGTTCCGGCAAGCCAAGATCTCGGGAAGGATCAATCAAGAGAGAGCGATTCTGCTCCTAGATACCGGTGCCGAAGTATCAATCTTGGATACCACCTTTGCTCGTAAGGCGGGATGCAATTTTGACACTAGTCAGAGACAGGAATGTGTGGGAATCGGTGACAACGTATATACTACGGAGAGAAGAACCAGGATCAAGATCACGTTAGCGGGATATCTGGTGCATTTTTTCGGCATCTGGATCGGAGATCTCTCAGGGCAGAACGCGATCCTAAGCATGGATCTCATGGTCCCAGCCGGTGTGCGGATGGACCTCACCGACGGATCGATGCGTCTACCTGACGAAGTGGGAATGCCGCTTAATGGTCGTAAGAGACTGTACGGCGAGAAGGCGAGATCAGTGATTCTCGAGAGAAGCCTACGAATCCCGGTCGGTCGGTCGGAGGAAACAGCGGCGAGGATTAAACTGTCGGCCGCAGAGAAGATGTGGGTGACCAGAGGAGAACGATGGGTACCGACAGTGACGGAAGGCCCAGTCGGATCCGCTACCTGGTGATCTCGAACATTGGAGAAGAGATCTTACGGGTGGACCACCGTCAGGACGTTAGTATGATACTGGATCAGGACAAAGTACCCCGATCACCAGGGTTCGCGTTCGTCGGGTCACGTCGCTACCGGGAATGGCAGAATCTGGCATTGGAATCGACGGTGGATACTAGATCAGAGCCTCCAGAAGTTATGGAGGACCCTGCGGAGCTGGCAGTACAACGACCATTGTATCCCACATCACGATAAATACTTCGCCGGGCAGAAACCGCTGATATCGACAGAGATCAAACGTTGATATCGACCCTAGAATCTCGATCGAGGGCGGGAATTGCCAACGCAGCCCAGATCGAGGCAAAATTACCCGATCCGGAAGGGGAGCATCCATCTACGCCACCGGAAAATCCCAACGCCGATCGATACCGGAGCGGCGACGCTGGGGGCGGCAGGATGAGTGAGAGCATGCCGGACCAGGCTACCGATCGGACGGACACCAAGGATATCAAGACGGAAAATCGGACTGGCACCAAGGATATCGAGCCGAAAACGGGAAACCCGAACTGTCAAACCCAGATCAAACCCGATCCCGGCGAGGGATTCGACGTAAAATCCCCGATCCAACCGACCGAGGGCGTCGAACTACGAGATCCGCTGGCGGAAGGAGCAGCAGCGACCACCCCACAGGAGGCCGAGGACGATGACGAGATATATTACCATGAGAGTGGTGATCGCTCAGCTGAAGATCTTGAGGGAAACCTTACTGTCCTTCCCGAAAGCCCGATCTCGACGACCGCGAAGGTCAGCTTCGAAGATCTGCAGGTGGGAGACTCCGGATCGGTCACACCCGAGCAGATCGAGAAGCTCCGGCAGATCATTTGGAAGAAACGACATCTTCTGATCGGCAAAGGGAACGCCTTACCCCCGGCAGCCAAAGGGGTCGTATGCGATATCGACGTTGGAAACGCGAAACCGATCGCACTGCGAGCCCGGAAAGTGCCCGCGCGATTTCGCGAAAAGGCGCAGACCTGATAAAGGGACTCCTGACAGCCGAGATCATCCGACCCTTGACATCGCCATGGGCCTCACCAATCGTGATTGTTCACAAGAGTAACGGTGTGAATATCAGGTTGTACATCGACTACAAACTGGTAAACAGCCTCACGAGGCTGATGGTATATCCCATGCCCCTGACCAGCGATCTGTTAGAAGATCTCGATAAGGCGTTATGGTATTGCTCGCTGGATATGGCCAGCTGTTTCTGGGTCGTCCCCGTGACGGATAGGGCTCGCGAGAACTCAGCATTCATCACCCCGTTTGGATTGTTCGAATGGATTCGCATGCCTTTTGGCCTAAAAAATGCCTCGCAGATTTATCAACGCCTCGTAGACAATGCGCTATATGGATTTCTGAAAATCTCGCGATCAGGCGACGCCGGGGCTACAATGGACGTGCTCCAGACAGGGATCGCGGACGATCCTGATCGCGAGTAAGTGTTGGAACGGAGATCATACATTGACAACATCATGATCGCAGCAGAATCGAATGTGCCAAAGGGTGGAAGATCAGTTGGAGGCTTGCGATAAGTGGAATTTATCGATCAGTGTGGCGAAGAGTTTCTGGGGCATGGATAAGGTAGGATATCTGGGAAACCGAATGTCGATCGCAGGTCTGGAGGCAAACGATCTGAAATCCCTGACCGATTTATCATTCCCCGGATCACTACGATCTATGCAGTCTTGCTGGGTACTACAGCCGATTCGTTGAAGACTACGCTATCTACGCTTCGGTGCTCTATGAATTGTGCGAGGTGGAGTTTGCAGAACAGGAGAAACGATCGGATCTGAGGAAGATCATGGACCAGAACGACCCGCTTGCTCGAGATCACGGTCCACCGGAACTGCAGTTGGCCGAATCAGTAGACGAGAGGTGGGTCAGAGCGCATAGGGCCTTTACCACTCTGAAAACCAAGATCGCGACTACCCCAATTCTCTGCCACTTCGACGAGACAAGAACGCCGGTAGTTATCGTATATGCTAGTGATCGGGCGATATCGTCTTCGTTGACGCAAGAACACGACGAAATACAGGGCACCAGATCCGGGCACGCGCACCAGTTGTGGCGAGGTCGGTGAACCTTTTCCGCGGCAAGTGTATAGTGCGGTAGCCCAGGGGGTCCAGAGAATTGGAGAACGCTCTGGTACTGGGGTCAGAAACTCTAGAACGCAAACGTTCCAGGGTCGGCGTGTGGCCCTTGTGAATCCCTTTGGGTTCGATTTTGGTGGCAGCCTGACAACCTGCCGGGTTGGTGGTTAATGGAGGCACTGTGCGTGTCGGGTGGGACGTTTACTGTCTGAAACGCACCCTTATTAGACTAGGAATAAAGCCCCAGAACACACTCCCTCGTAAGATAGCCAAAATACAGAGTAAAATATACAGCCGTCACTTATTCTTTGAGACCCTTGAACGGGGGGTCTATCACCAGTCAACTG